TTCTGTTAGGTGTCTACTTTGTGTACACTCACAATAACAGCAGAAGTGTGCTTTTGCAAAATAGGGACAATAAAGTGTGTTTTTTTGTCCCTTCGCAAACTGGTTTTAGAAACAAACTCTGCGAAAAAAAAACACACAGACATGAGACAAATTTCTATAGAAAGCATGAAGTGTCTACTTTTAAATGCAGGGAGTCATGCTGAAAACAAAAACTGTTTGATAAAATAATCAGTATGAAGCCAACACAGTCTTTTTTTCTCAGTCTGATCGAATAATTTTTAAGAAAACTTGTCCCGAGTGAAAATCAGGGCTAAGACTGTGCGGTGTGAACTTGCCATTAGTGATTCATTAACTGAAATGATTCATTATGGCAGCCTATTCATAAATCACTGAATTGATTCACTTGATTCATTCAAAAGCAGATTCATTCCAGAACAAAACACCAGAGTGTTGCTCTGCAATGCACAAATACTCAGCTACAGCTCATTTAGGATTTTTGTTTTGGAAACCAGGAAACAAACCAAAACAAAATAACGAACTAATAACAGACAATGTAAGGAATGCATCATACTCAATATTAACTGCTTGTTTGTTGAACTTTTGTATAAGAGATGAAGCCAATTATGATATAGGGATAGTTAGAAGGACATGATGGACAGGACAGTGGGCAAATTTGGCCATGATCCCGGGGTTAAACCCCTACTTTTTTTTCGAAGGACATCCTAAGATTTTTGACGACCACAGAGAGTCATGACCTTGGTTTAATATCTCATCCGAAAGATGCCGTTCACTGAGCAGTATAGTGGCCCCATCAATATACTGGGGCGTTAAGACCCACAGACCATAGGTTGAGCGCTCCCTGCTGGCCTCACTAACACTACTTCTGGCAGCAACCTGGATTTCCCATGTGGTCTTCCAACCAGGTACAAGCTGTGCACAGGTCAGCTCAGCTTCAGTGGGTGACCATGTGAGAGAGTGAGAGCTGTTGTTAAACAACATTTATGATATTATCATAGACTATACATATTGATATTATCACCCAAATAAATATTGAACTCAAATGATTAGTTTAAAAGCAGATTCATTCCAGAATAAAGCACCAAAGTGTCGCTCTAAGATGCACAAATATTCTGCTACAGCTTTAATTAGGATATTTTGTTGTGGAAACAATACACACATACAAAAAACGAACAAATAACATGTATCTCACTCAATATTAACTTCTTGATTATTGAACGTTTGTATTTTGCTTAGTGTGCTCATTTTTGCAATTGATTATAAACTTTCGATTCGGCTGCCTATGGGAGAAATGACTAGGAGAAATAAACGGCAGAAAATGCTCAAACTACTTGCTCTACAAACAAGTTTGTTCATGACTATGCATAAAAGTACCTAAATAATATTTTAAATAATATATTTTTCTAACTAAAACTTCTTCCACCGTGCTTTCTCAAGACACCATATAGTTTGTCTTCAAGCGTTATTCATTCATTCATTTTCTTGTCGGCTTAGTCCCTTTATTAATCTGGGGTCGCAACAGCGGAATGAACCACCAACTTATCCAGCAAGTTTTTTTTTTTTTACGCAGCGGATGTCCTTCCAGCCACATCCCATCTCTGGGAAACATCCACACGTTCACACACACACACACTTATACACTATGGACAATTTAGCCTACCCAATTCACCTGTACCACATGTCTTTGGACTGTGGGGGAAACCGGAGTACCCAGAGGAAACCCATGCGAACACAGGGAGAACATGCAAACTCCACACAGAAACGCCAACTAAGACGAGGATCGAACCAGCGACCTTCTTGCTGTGAGGCGAACGTGCTACCTAGTACTATTATTTATAATATACTATTTAGCTCTAGTTATTTATTTAATTAGTAAGGTCAATAAAATTATCACAATTGTAAATGCATCACAAAAGCAGCTTCAGATAAACTATATCACAAATTATAAATAACTTTATGTTTTGTTTTGTTTTTTGCTGCGTGTCATAGGCGAACTCGATAATTCCAGCATGTTAAAACTACAATATTATCATAAACAATAAATATTGCACCCTTAGTAGTTGTTTGACCTCTTGCCCTCTTAAAAGAAAAGAAAAACAGCTGCAAAACACCTTTAAGCCCACTTTTTTCTATATTTAAAAAGACCCTTTCACTTCATGTTGTGTTTGGCAGTGCTAACATAAAGGGTAAGTTTACTCCAAAATTAAAATTTGCTCACAATTAACTCTCAGTTGTTTTAAACCTTCAGGTTTTTTCTTCTGTTGAACATTAAAATAAGATATTTTGAAGAATGCTTAAAACCTGTAACCATAGACTTCCATAGTAGGGAAAAGCAAACACTATGGAAGTCGATGGTTACACATTTCCAGCTTTTTTCAAAATATCTTCATTTATGTTCAACAGAAGAAAGAAACACAAGCAGGTTTGGAAGGGGAAGTAAACAATGACAGAATTTTCATTTTTGAGTGAACTGTCCCTTTTAAGCGTGCCTTGCCTTTTACAATTATATCCCTCGATCCAAGTGCGAAACCAATATCCCAAACAAACTGCCTTGGAAAAAAGTGTAATGTGCTTGCATGGCCACTTTTATTTTCTCTCTATAACCGACTCCTGGCAGCCGCAGTCAATACAGTTCCCCAACCACAAGATCTCCACACAGGGGTTCCATCCTGGCAAAAACAGAGGAGGCTTTGATTGGGGAACATTCAGCTCCCAGCCGTCTGTTTTAATAAGAAATAGGGAAATGAGGGGAGAAATGCGAGGGGAAAAGTAAACGAATGTCTGTTTGGGGACAGACTAATAAGGACTCAAAGCTTCACAGGGAGCCAAGGGAAATAAGACGAGGACCCAGAACATTCCATTGAGATGAAACTCTCAAGACTCTGTTTGGGTCGACGCAAAGCGCTTTTCAATCCCACTGAAGCTCTTTCTTGCATAAACTACGATATTTCTCCTTACGAACAGGTTCACTCTCACAACTGCTGTTGGTCAGGTGTACAAAGAGCCCCGTCCCAAACTCACGCCATTGGCTGAGCCAGAACTTAATATGTCAGAACGCTTGAAGAAACGCAGCAATAATGTGAAAGCACCATAGAGGTGAGTAGAGTTAGCAACATCTATCTATCTATCTATCTATCTATCTATCTATCTATCTATCTATCTATCTATCTATCTATCTATCTATCTATCTATCTATCTATCTATCTATCTATCTATCTATCTATCTATCTATCTATCTATCTATCTATCTATCTATCTATCGTTCTATCGTTCTATCTATCGTTCTATCTATCGTTCTATCCATCTATCCATCCATCCATCCATCCATCCATCCATCAAGAGAATAGACAGTTTAAAGTTGAATGGACAGAAAAGTATGCTTTTTTTTTTTTTGCATGTTTATGCATTACTTTCTAAAGTATATTTCCCCAACACTGGCTAAAGCAGAGATGCTCAAAGTAGGTCCCACGGGCCAAAGTTGGCCCATTGTAACCTTTGATTTGACCCACCATCCCATCTGAGAGGAGAGTGAGAATAATGGAGAGGGTTGGGGCACATGACCTAAACAAATAAGGTTACGTCAAATTAGAAAATGATGATCTCTGTGTTAGTTTTACTGCTGAGCTACAAAAAAAAAGCAAAAAGAAATTAAATGTTTCAATTAAATGTATTAAATGAATCAGATTTTTTTAAATGTAAATACTATCACTCAATTTTTTTTAATGAGATTTAGTTTTTACTGTAATACATTCATTATACAATGTAAAAAACACTATTAGTTAATATAAAACAATGTTTTCTAGTCATTTTTAAACATTGTTAAATAAATGAGGAAATTAGCCATGGTAAATTACCCCACCTATGTTTGTCTTCGGCCCACTAGCCTTAATCAAGTTTTGTTTTTGGCCCTTCATAAAAAAAAAAAGTTTGGGCACCTCTGGGTTAAAGGGGTAGTTCACCTAAAAAATTTGTCATTTTGTCAAATTTTGTCAATTAAAAAAAAAAAACGTTTATCATAATTTACTCACCCTTGTTTTAACCTCTTAAGGCCCAAGGTGTTTTTTTTTTCATTTTACAACAGCTATTTGGGCTTATTGAAACCTAATCAGAATAAAAATCTAAGTCTTTTATCATCTTTTGATATGACTTACTTTTAGAGAAAAATGATGTCCATACATGTGGACTTATGGTCCAAATTTACATAAAACACTTTTTCCTGACTGTTTTTAATGCATATCTAACATACACAGTTTTTTTTTTTTTTTACATTTGATTATCAGAGAGTACCCCCCCCCCCCCCACCACCACCATTTTGGACAATTAAAAATAGTGTTTGGGACATTTCATATGCTGTAAAACAGTTGCAGGATGACACTGTATGTCTGTAAAAAATATATAAAACATTCAAAGTATTTTAAATAGCCACTCAAGAGCTAAAATGTGCTGTCCATGTATGTGGCCTCTAAGCCCTAGGAGGATATACCTTAATGAGTTTCTTTCTTCTGTTGAACCCAAAAGAAGCTATTTTAAAGAAAGCTGGAAACCTGTAACCACTGACATTTGTTTTTTTTCTACTATGGATTCCAATGGTTTTCATCTCTCTTCAAGAAATAAAAATTTAATTTGCATTCAACAGAAGAAAGAAACTCATACAGATTTGAAGTCCACAGTAAACAGTGAGTAAAGTTTCATCTTTTGGCTGAGCTATCCCTTTAAGCCTTCTGTTTGAACGGCCTCTTCCAGTTGTTTCTGCACAACAAATTGGTATATTTACATAAAAACTGACATTTTAAGATGGCCAACATCAAAATGAAAACTGTCTGTTTAGGTTAAACATGATAATACCTGCTGATTTTGTTGAAGCATAAAAGACTAAACATTCTCCACATCTTAATAAGTGTGCCGTCCAGCTGTTGCTTGCTTCTGTTTACTCCCTGACCTAAACCATATGCAGTTTTAGATGATGGAAAATGAAGACATACCGACGACTTTGGGTAGTTTCTGTCTCCTCAGTGGGATTCTGGGAAGTTTGGTGCTGATTCGACTGAATCCACCACAGAGGATTATTTTGGCCTTCTTGCTGTTGGTGGAGTTTTCCTGGTCTGGGCTGAAAGAGGAAGGGTGACGTTAGACTAACATTACAGATGGATCCTATGCTGAATGTGTGTGTGATGGCTCTCTAATGCAGTTTACACCATCAAACGATAAAGACATATGGAAAGAAAGGAGAAATGGAGAGATTGCTCTGCCTCTCGGTGCAAACTGAGGAAATCTAGGCTCAGCTGGTCTTACGATCTGCAGTTTTCCAGCCATTTAGAAAAGGTGGAAAGTTTAAGAAAACAGCCGACTGTGATTTCTAGAACACGAGAGTCTTGAGTTTTCCCAACTGACTGCGGAGAACAGAGGAGGCTTTCACTTTCGCGAACTGTGAACAATTCTGATGACAGGCTTTGTTAAAAGATGATTTTTGCCAGCGGCATCTGAACCGAGGGAGTTTGAGCATGACACAACGGCCACGTTCACGACATCAGTTCACCACGTTCACGACTTAGTTCGGTTTTAAATTTAAATATGGTTACATTCACACATGGTTTGTACAATGTGAAAATGAACTGTTATTATACTGGACTATTTAGTATTATAAAACTTGTTTCAGTTATAGACCTTTTTCTTGGAACGCAAAATGACCCATTATGCTTTGTGTGTATGCGCAAGGAGAATGCGAAGAACTTCCGGTCGGCAGCTGATGCGTGTAACAGTCACATTTGGACAGCTTTGAAATGATAGATTTAATCTATTTTACCTGCTTTTATCCTCTTTGAACTAATACTGTTGTCCATCAGCACCATCTCCAGGACTGATCACTTAAAGAAATGCGATCTAATAGGATGGAAAGCAGCTGCTGTGAGGCATTTTCCCCTCGTTGTCAGACGGCATCTTCTGCAGTTTAAATGAAGCCTTGTCATCGCTAAAGTCAACATTTTCTCTTTATTTCAAATATATAACCAGCTCAAACAAATGTAATTCACCAAAATGTTTGACACACACACGTAGCCTGTACTGTTCCACTGACACACTGATTTAATAACTGTGACAAAGTGAAAATATAGGCTAGTGTCATTTCGAAATGACAGAAAAAACACATACCGTGGTGAAAACAACACACGAAATAAAACACAAACGGCTCGTGATTAGAAGGAACAGCTATCAGCCAGCAGAGTATCAATAACAGACTTTTATTGGTCATTTTTGTAAATTGCACGACTTTCATACCTGTTAAGTTTCATGCCAGCACTCTGGTTTGCTCTCCCCCCCCCCCCCCCTCTCTGTGTGTGTGCGTGTATGTGTGCGTGTACACACTGTATTTCTGACGGCAGACACGTGAACTAGGAGAACGTTTTTCTCCTATTTCTGACGTGCTTAAACCACATGTGACAGATTATAACGGCTTTAACAGACACATTTCTAAGTTGTGTGTCACAAAAACACTCTGTTATCCATTAAAAACGTCATTGAAACCCATTTTCGGAGCGCGAATTACCAGTTGTACACGCTGTAAACGGAAGTTTTTAGCATTCTACCGGAAAACGCTGGTCACTATGGCGCCCTCAATGCAGCAGCCATGAAAAAGGTCTATAGTCACAGGTGTGTTATTAATGCCAAAAGGGGTTTGAATTTAGTCCACATGTTTACTTTTGATAAAAAAAAAAAGCTTATTAGATTTGTTTTATTATTGATCTATATGTAGGTTTTTAGCTGCCTAATATATTGAGTTATCAGTATTGTATTTTGCCATATTGGTGCATCCCTTTTTTATTTTTTTTATTCAAAAACATTAAGAAACAAATCTTTATATAGTAATATGAATAAAAATAATAATTCAGGCTTACAGCAAAGGAAAAAATAAAATTGCTAAATATGAAAATAGAAAAATACATGTTTGTTCTAGAAGTGTAGAGAAGGGTTTTATAGAAAGTCAAATTTATACATTCAAATTCCTCATCCTCAAATTCCTTACTATTGATCATTAGTTGGCAGCATTATCTCTTTAGATAGGCCTGTGCAAAAAAAAGTCTGACTTTTATATGGAATTCTATTGGGTATAACAGATTATAGTGTGTGTGCATAAATACTAGTTTATGTTAAGACTAGAATATGTTAAGTCAATTCAAAGATGTGAATAGACATTCTGCGGTGCAATTCAGGCAAATGAGACGGCGCGAATGACGCAGTTTGTGCAAATGAAGCAGTTCGAGTTGAAGGTTTTGCGCGTTTAGTAATGCGATGGCACTCGGATCTTTGAGTTAGAAAATCTGAACCTCATCAGACATTTGCGTCACATGAACCAATCAGGAGCTTGCTCTTGTAGGGGCGTTATTATGTCGTAGGGCCTGTTGTTGGTGTCCCGAGGGGAAATCCTCTTGCCGACACAGGACACTAGCTCTTCGAAATGAGCTGGGCTCAGTCTGAAGCACCACTGAAAGCTTCCATCATCCAAGTATAGTTTCTGGAGGGTTAGAGTTGATAAACTCCCAGAGCATGGTGCACCTCTGAAAGGATCTAGTGGACTCAGACACGACGCCGAACAAATACTTACTGTTTTTCAACCTTCCTAAAGCACATAAACAGCTATTCTCTGAATAAAATCCATGTTAGCCATTTAGCAACGAAGCTAGAGTCACAGAACAGACAGAAGTCCTGCCCATAACGTGAATTGACATCTATTGTGAAGTGAATTGAATAAAGCAAGTAAACTCAAAAAATGTCACGCATCTATTTACGTGCGAATAACGCGTTTTTATTCACACGTGCCGCATCTTATGGTGTGAACACAGTATAAGAGCTGAGCTGCTAATTTTAGTTTTATTACACATATATCAAAGTAAGTGTGCAAAGGTCTCTCTTACACACACACACACACACACACACACACACACACACACACACACACACACACACACACACACACACACTATACTCAATACAAAAGCCATAAACTACATTTTTCAATAGTAAAAACAGCAGATTTTTACCTCTTCCCAACAGAAAAACCACCAACAATCAAGAAGGCATGATAATATGGTGTCATGGCTTTACAGTCAAAAAATATCATCACAATGAAAGTCAATGGGGCAAAAAAAGCCCCAAACATAATGAAGAGGTAGTTAATTTTTTTTTGCCCAGAGTGTATTGTTGGGTTTTTGAAAACATGCAAGGCATTTTCCCAAAATATGTGTCAGATTAAGCTTTGACACCGAAAATTCAGTTTGCTGAAATGCAGAGAACGTTGTTGCCAAATTAGGCCCCAAAATCATCCCAAAGCGGATAAAACAATCCTAAAAGCACACACAGTCAGTAAACCTTCTACCTTAGCTCTTAAGCAAGTAATCGCTTTTTTACAATGTGCTTTCCTTTGCATAGTAATCAGTAACTGGTGATCTTTAACGTTTATGTGAGACGGTTGGGTCTGAGTTGATGCAGTAGTGTAGGTTTTGACTCACTTGCGGTTGTGTTTGTTGCTACAGAGGAAGCAGCAGCACAGCAGAGACAGAAGAACCACCAGCAGGAATGTGACCAGCGTTCCTGCAGCTATTACTCCCATCCGCTGATTAGGATCTGAGAGACACAGACGGGAGAGTGTCAAATTTGCACAAACACACACTGTACGTCTGGATTCATTTGTTTCGTCTAACGCAGTTGGCCATTTAAAGACAGATGGAGGCTGTTCAGTGAAAACAGCAGGAGACTTGCAAAACAACTGAGGTGTGTAGAAAAAAAAAACCCCGCTCAAAGTTTGAAATGGAAACGAAAATACAGCAGTTTCACATTTGATCCTAGAATGGGGATTCATTTAGTGGAATGATCTGAAAATAAATCCTGACAGGATAAGGTCTACGACTGCTTAGCAATATAGATAAATTGACATGAATTATTGGACGTGAAATTGGTTGAAGGGCAATTATACAATTTAGTGGTAAGAAAAATGAAGACTGCACAGCATAAAACGTAATGACCTTTACAAACATGTACCAAAATGACACAAATGACCAATCAGAATCAAGTCATCTACACTGTAAAAAACTATATGACCAATTAATCATGACAACATACGTTTTTAGTTCATTGTAACTTATTAAACTAAGATAGTTGTGTTTTAACTTAAGTTTATAAGTTATGCAAGTTAAGTCAGTTAATAATAAAATAAGTTTAATGGACTCATTTGATTCAGCTTAAAAATTTAAGGCAACCAGGATTTTAGACAGTGTAGACAGGAATAATGTCATTAAAGTATTTAAAATTCTATTTTTTCCCCCAAAATGTTTTTATTGCACATGTTAGATATTAAGCATGCAGTACAAATAATTTTTAACTTATAACAAATAGCTTTAACACATACAGTGCATCCGCAAAGTATCCTCAAAATTCTTCACACAATACCTCATAATGACAATGTGAAAAAAGATTTCTTGAAATTGTTGCAAATTTATAAAAAAAATAAAAAAAAACTATAAAAAATCACATGTATTCGCAGCCTTTGTCGTGAAGCTCCAAATTGAGCTCAATTTAAGCGGATTGAACATAAAACAACTAAGTTGTCCTTCAAGAATTCGTCACCTTGGAATTATAAGGTTCTACCTGCGTTCTGAATGATTTTGAGATATTTAGCCCTAAAGTTTTTTGCATTCCATAGCAGACAGTATGTGTGTAACATTTGTTTTTTAAATAAAAAACCTAAAATGTAAACAACTTATATAAAAAAAACATCCCATAATGTAGATAAGTTGTCATTTAATAAAAATATGTGAATAGCTCAATTTTTACAAAAATGTCAGATAGAATATTATAATGCTAAGATGACGAATTGTGTGTCAGCCAAGCGGCAACCTCCCGCTTTCCTTCATAAACAACTACAGAAGTAACTGAAACTACATTTCATCAAAATACAAACGGACTCCATACAAAAGCCAATTTCTGTTGACCCCACTTTTAAAATAGCCAAATTTACAGCAGAAAAAAAGGTGTTCATTCTCATTTATTTTGTTTATATTAAGTCTGCATAATTAAGGGCGTGGCCACTTGAGTGACAGCTAGATCTCCCAGGTCGTCGTCTCATCACCTCAGCTGATTCCGGCAGATTAGCCGCTGATCTTGGCATATTCATTGTATTTTTGTTTTCTTTAATGTTTCTTAACATAGTCACTTGACTTTTGTAATTATTTCCTGCAATTATCAGATGATATGGCATGCGGTGTGCACTTAATTGTGCTTACAAACCATTCATGTGGCCTCTTTTTTCCCCATGTGAGTGAAATTATATACTTATACCATCTCTATTAATGTATTTGTTTCATTTAAGATCTTTTATCATTTATAATTGTCTTTAGACCTGTAATTCAATCTAGAATCTGACAGATTGATTAGCTGTAGGCTCTAGAACAGTCTGAAACGTTGTCATACAGTGTTATTCCTGGAATTCATAAATAGCCTTGCATATATCAACACAGACTATATTTTAAGCAATTCACGTTTTCCTCCTGTTGAAAAAAAAAAAACATCATAAGACCAATGTTTGATGGCTCAAGGTGTTACAACAGTATTTTAAAAGTCTAAACACTGATATAGTGTACAACCAAGCATGTGTGGTCAGAACACAAACGAGTCGCAGGTAATGAAGTATTAAGCGTTTCTCCCAAAGGAAAGCCTGTCTAAGCAAAATGCTAGCAGGCGTCTGTAGCTCCGCTCATGCTCCGCCTCTTTGCCCTTGTTTTGAGCAATTTCCCCGGATTGGAGCGATGACTCGTGAACAAAATGGCAATAGTTGGCCATGCCTACCAATAGCTTTTGGGTTTTTCAGAAACCTATGGATGACGCCCATATCTTTTACAGTCTATGGTTTCAGCTCATTTTAAGAGTAGTTTGAACAAACAGCAAACATCATTTTTTTTAAAGTAAATGAATTTAAATGTCTGCAATCCAAAACAAATTACATGTTGTTGAGTTGTTGGGTATTTTTCTGGCGGCCAATCTCAATGAACTTGGACAGCTAACCAATCACAGCATATTTGCTTTTTCAAAAGGCAGGCCTTCAATACACATGGAATTAATCAAGCTGGGGATGCCAGGCTGGAGAGAGAGGTATTGTAATAATTTATGTGAAAAATAATGTTGTTGTTTTTTTTATTATTATTATTATTTTTTTATTTTATTTTAAATCACCAAGCATCCATGTTCTAACACACCCCTAAACAAAATCAGCAACTTATTTTCATGTTGCATCATTGCAAATAATTACTTCACCTTAAACTGCTTTTAAGTGAAGTTTATTCATAAACTAATTTCGAGAGGATCACATGTTTATGATTTATCACGGCTGGTCTCGAATTTGCTAATCAGTATCTTACAATCATTCGAGACCTAAGCTGCTAAAAATAACCACAGTTTTCATTTCACTTTATCTTCGTTTGGAAGAAACCCCCCTCTTCCCCTTTTCTTCCTCTTTTATCTCTGACATTGTCGACACGGCGGCCCAGTGGTTAGCACTGCGAGCCCCACAGCAAGAACACCGCCAGCCCTGGCCCCCCAGGACCGGTGGGTGTTTCTGTGAGGAGTTTGTATGTTGTCCCCGTGTCCGTGTGGGTTTTCCCCAAGTGCTCCGGTTTCCTCCCACCATCCAAAGACATTCAATATACATAAAAACCAAGCATTTATCTAACCCTTGTGTTCCCTTAGCTACAGCAGCGGGGGAGTTCTGAGATCCACCGAGCTCAGGCTCCCCTCTCGCTCTGCCAAACGGGAGGAAGCCCCGGACTCAAGGAGTCCTTGAGCTCGGGGCTCTCTCCCGGGACAGCATGCCAAACAAGCTTTTATAAATCATCAGCTAAGTGTGAACTCTTGAACTCATCTCGAATCATCTCGAAACCAATTTCCAATATTTTTAAACTCCATGCTAAGAATGATCATGTATTGCATCACTGCATATTCTCATTAAAAAGTGTTTACATGTTTATTGTTTAGAGTTTTGTCTGATAAAAGTACACCGTGTATAAATGTGCTGAAATGCCACTGGTTCAGGAGTTTAAGGGCTAACAGTTGTGTCCTGTGAGATGCAGGAAGTCTGCCAGTGGCTTCTTTGCATCTGTTGCCAACAAGCATAATCACTGGAGCAGAATGTGTGGCCATTTGGCTCTTCCGTTCATAAAAAAGAAAGGACAATGCTGGGACGCTAAACTTGGCACCGCTGAGAATGAATAATTTCAGCTGTTCGATTACACTCCATTTGATCATACTAAATGATCAGTTCAATATGCATGTGTGATAAATTCCAGCAACATCAATAAAGCCAAGAACTTTAACCCAAATCCACACAACCAGCAGAGTGATAATCAGACACTTAAGTGTGGCGTTTGCACCGCAAATTCGCCTTTTTAAAATCTTGTTTCTAGTCCAAATATCTAAAATTTCTTAAATAAAGAAGGTTTTTCCAAACAAGCAAGTGTTGTCTTGTTTTCAGAAATAATGTTCAAATTAAGCTAGTTTTTCCTTAAAACAAGCAAACTAATCTGCCAAACGGCTGAGAAAATGATTCTTATTTCAAAGTAAAAACAAGATTATCACATTAGCATAATATTTAGCTTGTTTTACGGAAAAACAAATTTTTGCTTGTTTAGAAAATGCTTCTTCATTTAAGAATTATTAGATACTTGGATTAGAAACAAGTGTAGAAAAGACTGAATAAGAAAACTTTTTTCTTATTTTTGCAGTTTGTAATTTTGTTACAGCAGACTTTCGTTCGTTCGTTCATTCGTTCATTCATTCATGCATTCATCATTTAGTCATTCATTCATTCATTCATTTTCTTTTTGGCTTAGTCCCTTTATTAATCAGGGGTTGCCACAGCGGAATGATTCCACCTGCAACCCATCACTGGGAAACACCCATATACTCTCGTTCACAAGTACACTATGGACAATTTAGCTCATTCAATCCACCTATAGCCCATGTCTTTAGACTGTGGGGGAAACCTGGAGCCCCTAGAGGAAACCGATACCAACATGTGGAGAGCATGCAAAACTCCACACAGACATGGCAACTGACCCAGCCAAGGCTCGAACTACCTACCTTCTTGCTGTGAGGCGACAGCGATACCCACTGCGCCCAGACTTTTAGATATTTTTTAACAGCAATTGAGGAATTTTTTTTCAACAGTGCTGCTCCAGAAACATTCATTCATTCATTTTCTATTGGCTTAGAAAAATAAAAGATTGCAATGTTGTTATTTGCCCCAATATCGTGCAGTACTCATATTTTTCTAAATTACAAATATTGTAATTTATAGCTTTTTTTCGTCCTGGAAAATAATGATTGTTTGAACAACTTTTTTAAATTTATTGTTGTTGTTATTGAAAGATTCCACCCAATATTAATTTCTTAACTCTTCTTAAGTAAGAATGAATGTAAACATGTCTAAAAGAATAGCATGTTGTACGAAAAGGTACAGTATGTAAGTTTGACACCATGTGGTTAAACTAGGTATTGCACTCCTGGTTCAAAACCCCCGCAAGCAGAGGTTGCCAGACTGAGGACATCAACAGGGATGTGCCTGACTATCGAGCTTA